GCCTTGGAGGCAGCACGAACAGACGTTATCTCTGAGCATATGACAGGATTGGACTTGAAGGAGGAGGAAAAGAACTCGTCTTTAGAAGATGATGACATTTTGACATGGGCGCAAACGCGCTGGTCTAGGAGCGCGTACGTAAACTGTCCTAGGTTGGATGTACTTTCGAGCGGGAAGCTAATCATCACAGTCATGATATACTAATCAGCTGCTTATTGGACTGTGGATGTCTACGCAGTGCATCCGACTATATATCTCGCGCAAGAAAAGCCTTTCCGGAAGATCCGGTCTTCAAGGACTACGAGAAGTTTTTGTGGAACCATTTACGGACTTACTTCGAGCGTCAAGGGGAGTCTGCCGAGAACGTCGATGTAGAAGACTACCCTGACAAGGGCTTCGTCCGCCGCGAACTATATCCCTGGAATCATCATGAGCCGGACCGCTTCTCTCCAGAGTGCCTCGACTTCCTTAATGAGGAGCTTGCGGATATAGCACCAAAATTGGAGGTCAGAGTCTCTGAGTTGCCTATTCTCAGCACTACTACGACGACTAACGGAACGAACCCGGAAACGAACTATACGAAACAATTGGGCTTATTTGCGAAAGACGACATAACGCCTGGCGCGACCATCTTAGAGGAAAAGTCGCTACTTACCGCTATATCAAGGCTCCATGAGTCGTATTGCGATGCTTGCGTCATACCACTTTCGAACGGAGACAATACAGTGATATCCTGCGAAGAATGTGAAGAAGTGTTCTTCTGTAGCGAGGAATGTCACGACCTAGCTCAAGACCAGTATCATCCAGCGCTGTGCGGTGTCAGTGTAGACCAGGGCAAAGTACCCGCACGTGAAGCGGCAGACTACCTCTATACACTTCTACTTGTCCGCGCACTAGCACTAGCGGAGACCCTGGATCTCCATCCTCTGGAGTTGAAGGAAGTGCGGTACATTTGGGGTGACTATCATGGCAAAGATCTCGAGACCGTGTGGCAAGCGGATGCTTCGGGTCGCCTTAGCGATGCTTTTGCACACGTACCGCAAACGCTTCCCTTCTCGTTCAAGAACAACATACTCATGCCGTTGCATGTTTTAGAAAAGATGGACATCAACATCTTTACCCAAAGTCACCGCTATGATACCTGGGTCTTCAACACTCTGTATGCGAAGTTCCGCGGAACAGCGTCTGCACAGCAGGGGCTCGATGGAAGGCCTGAGATTAGCGCTGTTCATCCTATGTGGTGCCTCGCAAATCATAGCTGTGATCCCGATGTCGCCTGGGAATGGCGTGGCTCAATGCGCTTTTGGACCCGCGAGGAGTTGGTTGATTGGAAGGGTAGAGACCCGAGCAAGGGGCCTGGTCTCAAGAGAGATGAAGAGGTGTTTGGCCACTACTGCGACGTACGTCTGCCGGTGAAGGAGAGACGGGAATGGGCTTCTGGAGCACTTGGCGGAGATTGTATGTGCGCTAGATGCGTCTGGGAAGAGGCGGAAGAACGGAAGCACAGTGCTTCGCAATAAGAACCCTGCAGCCGCCATGCAGTGTCGAAACTGGTGGAGACTCGAGATACTGTACGGTCGACATGTGAAACTGGCGGCTTCGCATTACAGTACATTTGCAGGCCGACCAAGTGGGCTTATGTCGCAAGCCAAACGCCAGACAAAGGAGCGCAGGATCGATTCAACACAGACTTGTAAGTCGTGGAGATCTGGTACAACGCTCGTATACGGAAATGGCAGCAACTCAAGATATCGGCAATCGCGTCATGCGGGATCCATCTGCCGGCCAATCCCAGTATTCGTGGGGGCCGCTGTTCTAAGCTCGCCCGGCAGGACACATGATGCAGCGGCAAGAATCAGGCCATAACCCAACGCCATGGTGACACCATCACAACTCCGTCATGGTGCATCTCGGGGCCCTGCATCACGGCGCACCTCGTGGGAGAGATTCACCGTTTACGAGTAACCATAGTCGCCATGCGCTTGTCTCATCCCTTCGGTTTTGCGAGCCTATCACGACCGGCTTCGGTCCCCTTCACGGCATGACGGCATTACGGGATATTCAGACAAGCGCCATACCTGGGCATTCAGCCGAAGTGTTTGTGTTGCATTATTTCGGCACTCTTCCTTGTCTTTCATTACTCGGTTGCCCTCTTACACCACACGATCGGTGTGCTCCCTGTACTGGCCTCATTCTTCCAGCGTCTAGTTCCTACTTTTGGGTCATTTGCACCAACATCTCACGCGGCTTTCAAGCCAAATCCCCAAGATTGCGCACCTCGCCATGCTGTCGGGTCTGTATTCTTGGCATACACCACGATGCGTGCGTCCGTTCCACAACCTTTGACATCGAGCAACGAAAAACACGCGCTACTGTCAAGCTGACACGAATACAAACCCATCTCCTTGGGTCTTGTTTTTACGGATAGATTCCCGCGGCCCGCTGGCGTCATCACCTGCCGCTGACCCCCTGACAAGCAAGCTTCACTGGATGAGCGGAGCCGCATCACGTGGCAACTAGGAACTATGGCTACTTTGACGGTGTAGTGATTCCAAATAGTACAGCTTACTGCAAAGATACGGCGTTCCATGCAACGGGACCTCCTTGGTTAGGCAGGAGGTATGAATCCCTGTTACCGAGCCATAGAACGAGTGCGGTTGCGAGCAGCCGTACAGATCCTGTCTGCGTCTACCAAGAACGATATCATAGCACCCGTCGTAATGATTGCCATCAGTATCTCATGTTCCACTGCTTCTACATCAGTCTCAACAATATCCGGCGGATGAAAAGAACCTTGTCATGTCCAGAAGAATTTCGGTTACACATCGCGACCTACATCGCAGGCAGGACTCATATGCATTGTACCAAGAACTAAGCTCTTCGTTCATCTGCGATATGGCGATAGCAATAAAGCAAAAATCGCCATATGTAATCGTCATCATTGTCTGAAGAGGATCATAGCTCGGCAAATCCAAGAAGGCACTGAAAGTGCCGAATCTTCAACAGCAGCGCTTAGCGTGCACGACAATATGATGCACCTAAGTTTCAATTCAACGGACCATTGCCACCATGATATGCAAGATGTCATATTCTATTATTGCACTTCGAGAAGCTATGCATGAGATGTTGGCCGATGTGGTGGCATCAGGTCTTGTCGACCGCCAGATGCTGTCAGTGACGACGTTCAAACCCACAATAGTTCGACATGACTGATCGGCACTGTGAGTTCCAATCGACAGCCCACTTCACAGGAATTATGAGAACGTTAAAGTCCTATGATCTTGTATTCACCTTTGTTGAACTGTTGAGATGTCACATCCGTGGGCCCAATTACAGTCACCTCCCAGTGCAGCTGCACGGCGAGTAGAATGATCATCTATGAAAACTGGCATGATATAACCAAACGCTGAGGGATGTCCGCGGTAATGCATATAGTGGCGGCTGGGACTCAATCTGCTGGCTGCTTAGATCAAAATAGCCCAACTAGCACTCAAACGAGAGTTCCATCTCCGATGCTCGCACAAAAGGTCGTTGAGTTACCCATTACACCCAAACACTCGAACTGCATCAACAACCCATGCGTCTGTCAGATTCGCATCTGCGCCCCAACACCCCCCATACGACCTATCACACCATCTCACAAGAAGCCAGATCCCTCCCCACGATGATCGATCCAGCCCCAGTACTCATGACAGCCAAGTACTGTCATGACCCTACTAGCGGGACGCGATAAGCGGTAGTATAGTATGCCTATACCTACAGGGTTCCATACACCCCCTTCCGCAGCTTGCCTCTCATCCGCAGCAAGCCCCCATCCGCAAAAACCGGATGGCAAAACACTGCCCAGATGTCCGGTGCGCATCTCCGTCTCTCACTCACCGCCACGACCCTCAACATATACACGTATGATGTCAGGCCATGTATCCCACAACCTGGGACTTGCTGTTTACGGGAACCTGCACTGCAGGCCAGCGTCGTGGTCCGCACTTCCACACCTCATTCACGCACATCCGGTGGAACGGTTGCATCATCGAAGATGGGCTGAGATCGATTGCAGACTGTCAGAGCGAGCTGCGCCGTCCGCGGAAAGGTGGGTCGTGTTGTTTATTGGATCTGATCGAGTTCAAACTGCATTTGCACACCCCCAGCAGTGAGCAGCCAGTCACTTACAGTCCCCACAAGCACCAAGCCTCCTCAAATCTGGCAATACCGAGAGTTAACCGCCATCCTCCGCTTGTCTCTCCCATGGATAGACGCTCGTCCGGTAATCTCGTAACGAGATAGCTCGCAGACTCCTTCACTTCGCGAGACACTCCTAGCCAAATGGATCTAACATATTTCACGCCCAACGATCTTTCTCCGCGGCGAACTAGTGATCGGACGTGTCAGCTCCGTACATACTCCACTGGAGCGCCTCTAGCCCATAGATCCGATATGCGTGACACCCAGCGTTCTTTCATCCATACAATCCGGTCCTTTCAGATGAGAAGGATCACTGATTCAAGAGCTCACGACGCACTTCCACATAGCCGTTGGAATACACCTTGTCATGTTGACGATGAGGCTGCGTTCGCGAGTGGACCGATGAGATTGAGAAACCTCATTCTATGACGTGATGCTATCAATTTCAGTCAGGCTTGGGCATGGCATGATTTTCTCGCTCAGTCTACCCGACCCACGGTAAATGACTTGACCTATGTTTGTGAGCTATGCATACGCGCTCCTGATCGCCATACTGAACACGTCGCCATCAGGATCCACGTCATCAAGCCGGGAAATCGAGGACACATCCTAATCATTGCGACAAGTGGCATCCCAGACATTAAACTCGAGTACGCTTTCCTCGTAGAGTAAGATTCTATTCCCTAGACTCGAGACGTCCCGTCAAGCTACAATGCAGAGATATGTCTATAAGGTATCACAGCATACATAGTCTAAAGCCCACTATCGGGTGGGCATACAACAAGCAACACCATCCCCATGGGCGCCGGCGCGGTCAACTACTCCGAGTTGGTAATCCACTCCCACCAACCAAGCTGAGGCAGCCCAGTCTCAATGCCGCACGCCCTAACGACAGCCACGACGACAGCACCCAACACACTCATACCGCCGAGCACCTTGACAAGCACGAAGCTCTGTCGCCTTAACTCGTCGCCGAAGTTGCACAGGCCGAGCGGATCTCGCGAGTCCAGCCCAACAGCTTTGGCATAGCGTTGACTGACCTTGACAGTTTTCTTCTCGTCGCTATCGCGTCTGACGAGCGCCCATTCAGCTCTCGGTAACTCGCCGGGCGATGCGACGATCGTGCCCTTCGATACCTCTTCGCCGACGCGCTCGAGCAACCACTTCGCCCTGTCGTTACTCTGGAGTTCCTCGAACCGTTCTCTTTCGTTTCGTCGGCTGCGCTGCAGATCCGTTGCCCATCTTGCTATCCGTACTTCGCTGAGGCGCTGCTCGCCTTGCGCAGTGTTGTATCTTGCTAGTGAGAAGTTTCCAAGTGGCTCGAGGGATTCGGAGTTGGCTAGGGAGGGAGAGGAGGCGAGGAGTGGGGATTGTAGGTTCGATGGGTAGAAGGGTGATCCTGATCCGGGTACCAGGACACCCGATGGTGATGCAGCGGAGAAGACTGAGGATGCTGCCGATGCTGATAAAGAGGTTAGCTTGTACAATGTGGCGGGGAGATGATCTTACAGTTCAGGTTGGCTCCATTTAGTCCGACCGAAGCCGTTGTCGGGCTACGTGGTTGAGCTAGACTTTGCAGCATTACAGAGTCACCAGGTAACTTTATCGTGCGCCGCCATGCGAGGAACTTCTTTGCCGCTGAATGCCGAAGCCACGCAATAGAATCAGGATCGAATACCTGGTTTACTAGTGTAGCGAGTTCAGAAGGAAGAAGAGGCTGCACGTAGTCGGGCGACATGAGCAAGGATGCATCCATGTTATCGTGGTCTGGACCAGACGTCGAAGAGACGGCGTAAGGGTAGGTTGGTGTAGTGAAGGGGTATTCAGCTGCCTCACTCGGCGCTCCTGAAGCCGAAGTCCTGGCGACTGGAAGGCCTTGTACGGCGAGTAGTGCATCGTCCATAGCTTTGCCGAAAAAGAAGGGTCTGAGAGCAGTGGTTTGCAGCCGCGCAAGAATCGACGTCTTCAGAGCTACCACTTCTTGCGCTGAAAGTGTATCTGATTTGGCGATGACAGGTACGACGTTGGTAAAGTGCGATAGCCGTTGCATGTACTCGACATCTTTCGTGATGTCCCGATCTGCATAAAGTCAGCGATGATGGCACTACAGATGATACTTTGGCTTACTTGGTGGAAGTAGGTATATGACAACGTCAACTAGGACGCCTCCACTACCACTGACCACCCCAAGCACGTCATTGTCATCCAACGTTGTCACTGATGAGGTCTGGTATAGCAGCGACTCGACGTAGTCTATCACCATGCTCATATCCTTCTCTGCAGAGCCCTGTGAGTAGCCAGGGGTGTCTACAAAACAAATGTTTCTCTCCAAGACTGTATCCATACTGCTCTTTCTTCTCCGCAGAATGCCGCTCTCTTCGGTATCAGTCCACCAATGAGGGTAAGGCTTCGTGCTCGCATGTATCTCAGTCACCCGTGTTGTGACCGCATGCTCGGCTTTCTTTGTGCGAGACTTCGACTTGGTCGGGCGTAGGGGTGCGCTTGGCTGCGAGGGCGATAGAGGATCTACGTGTACGATGTCTTCGCAGGCCTGGACGATGGATCGAATAAGGGACGATTTGCCGACACCTGCATCGTGCTTGTCAGCATAGCCCCTTCTACTAGAATGATGTCGCATATCGTGACTATGACGAACCTGTTTCGCCCGCCACCATGACTCTCAGCTTTCCCATAGCCTTGCCTCTGGTAGTGAAAGGCCTCCTGGTTGGCATCTGCATCTCAGGCATGACCAGCTGTGGGAAGCTCGCCATATCCTGCTGTACCTCTACCTGCTCTTCCTCCTCTCCACTTGAGACAACGGCCTGGCTCGCAGCATCATCCATGGCAAACTCCTCGTCAGATAGCTTGAGCGACGTTATCGAAGCCGACCTCGGTGTGCTCCCCATAGCGGACGTGGGGAGTGGAGAAGGAACGTCGACGCTGGGGGCGGGAAGTTTAAAGTGAGTGATCGTGTCATTTTTGGTGTAGTTCCTCCTAAGTTTCCGTACCGAGTTTATCCTGGATTTGTCTGGCGGTGTGACTGAATCTGTGGAAGAGCTATGCGACTCGGATCTTGAACTCTTTGCCCCATGCTGCGTCTTACTAGCCTTTTCTGGATCTGTACCTTCTGGGCCGAAAGCAGCCTCCAAAGTGTCTGCAAGACTCTGTACGCCGAATGTACTATCGTGCTGCTTTCCTGTAGCAGTCGCGCTGTGAGGAGGAGCCATGGTGTGCTCCAAATCCCCGACGCGCTTCATGACGAATGTAGTGGGGACATTGCTCGAAGGGGCGGTAGGATGATCGATGCTTGATTTACGAGACCGCGGCCGAACAGTAGAAGGCAGGGCGTCGCCGCCCAGTAGCGGTCGCATACTTGCAGAAATCCCGGGGCATATGTTGCAGAGTAGGTGAGTAGATTGGGTTGAAAGCGAGAGTCTTGGTCAGCTTCGAGAGATACCGAGTGGTGATGTGATGCACGTCGCGCGACGGCCCCGCTTAGCCCCGCGCGATCTACTGCGACCTTAGCCTCGTGATAATGCGCCAGCGTTAATTAAGTGGAGTGTGAGGAAGAGCAGTAGCTAGATTGTCAGGGTATCAGGGTACGAGTCTTTCGCATGCACGAAACGCAGGTTGGCGCGGCTTGAAGCTTATGGGCTGTTGCTGATGCAGGTGATTGCGCGTCTTCGAATCAACGGTCAGCGCAGCACTAGGCACATCCCGCGTCGCACTACACCCATCAGGTGACGTTATCAGCAATCACCAGACAACCTCACTCTAGCCCATCTACACCGTGTTGGAGCGTATATCATTTATAGTATTCGTACCAGATCATCTCACGATTTGACTGCCCTTCCCCGTCCGATCCTGTTGTCGCCGAAGCTATGCTGTACACCCATTACACCAGATGCTATGACATCCCTAGCCCGTACCCAGGAACCCCCAGATAGCCTTCCCTAAACATTACTTGACGAAGAATGCGACCGCGAAGAAGGGAATATGTTCGAAAACGGCTGAACGGATATACACGGATACAGAAAGGAAACATGCAGAAACGAAACCACTCGCTATGCAAGGGCTCTGAGCCCTAAGACGAACGCGTACGCCCAGACTTTTCCTCGAAATGAAATGACTTTTATACAAGCGCTGAAAGGGGGTCGGTACAGTACATGGCTAAAGCCGTCAGTCGTGAGGCCATCGAGTCAAACCGACTCAACAAGAGATAGAAGAAGAATGGCAAAAGGAACGAGGGAGTAAGCAGCGCGTGGAGCTTCTTATGACTCCTGAGGGGCAGCGCCGCCGCGACCACCACGCATGGGGCCACCGCGTCCCCGAGGCTGGAAGTTGCCACGGGGTGCCTGACCACCCATACCGCCACGGCCGCCGCGAGGAGCACCACCGCGAGGGAATCCTCCTCCCCTGTTGAACTGGCCGGGGTTCTGACGGCGTTCCTCGACCTTGATCTCGATGCCGTTGATCGTGTGGGGGTTGGCAGCGACGGCAGCTTGGAAGCCAGCGGGTGTCTTGAAGTCGACGAAAGCGCAGTTCTGCAGGGTGTTAGTCGAGGTACGATATGGTGAGGTACATTTACTTACCTTGCCACGGCTGATGTCAAGGTACTCAATCTCGCCGTACTTGGTCAGAGCAGTCTTCAGAGCAGCGTCGTCGACCTGGCTGTAGACGTTCTTGATGTAAGCGCGCTTCTGGTCAGGGTCGGCGGCGGGTCCTGCGTTCTGTGCGCGGGACTGCTCCTTCTTGTGTCCAGTGGCTGTTTGCCAGCCAGCAGCCTCGCCCTGGCTTGTCGCGGGGGATTGGTCACGAGCAGGTGCTGAGGTCTGGCTGGGGGCAGCAGCAGCGGCAGGAGCAGGCGCGGCGGCAGCGGCCTTGGGCTGCGAAGGAGCTTGCTGGCCAGCGGGGGCGTTCACGACGGGGGTAGCGACCTTGTGTGCTGAGGCGGCGAGGCTGGCCCAAGTACGGGGAGCAGCAGGCTTAGGGGGACCAGAGGGCATAGCAACGGGGGCGGCCTTTTGGGCGGGCGCCGGGGCGGCAGCGGCAGGCTTCTCAGGCTCGGCGGTCTCCTCAGCGGCGGGGGTTGGCTCGGCGACCTTCTCCTCGACAGCAGCAGGTGCCTCCTCAGCAGCGGGCTGCTCGATCTCCTCTGGAACCTGTTGAGCTGGGGCAGCAGGCGCAACCTCCTCAACAGACGGCTCCTCTTGCGCAGCCTGGTGTAGCTTGTTGTCCACCTTGTTCAGGTCCTCCTCGCTGGTCGCGATCTCGTCGCTCTGGTTGAGATCGGCATTCTCGGGGACGGCAGCGGTGGGAGCGGGCTCCGTGACACCGTTGGGGGGCGCGGCCTGCTCTTGCTGGTCCTCGTCCTCCTCGGGCTCGTCGGCGAGGTAGCGGAAGATGTCGTTGAGGACGAAGTAACCGTTGGTCTGCTCGGCGAGGACGAAAGTCTGCACGAAGCGCTTGTGGGGCTGGCCTTGGTTGGAGATCTCGCCAATGACTTGGATGACGATGTTGGCATCGGAGCCCTGCGAGTCGACGTTGGTGACGCGGACCTTGGTGTCCTTGAACTCAAGCTCCTTGATGCGCTCGTTGATGGCCTAGACGCGAGTCAGCATGCATCGACTGCAATTGGGCATGCTTCACGTACCTTCTGGCCTAGGCAGACGTTGACCTTGTCCTCCTCGACGCCGGAAACATACTGGGAGCGCTTGTTGTAGAAAAGCTGCAAGTTGGGTCAGTCGCGTGGTCACCAAGAAAAGCCTTTCCGCATATGCGACTTACGTAGAGTCGGTCCGGGCTCTTGCTCAGGGTGGTGTAGTACTGCTCGACAAAGTACCAGCCGACCTCGTCCTTGGGGATCTCTGAGGCGGCGGCTTGTTGTGCGGGCTGGCTGGGCGTGGGCTGCTGCGAGGGTGTGAAGTTGGAGGCGCCGGTGGAGTAGCTGTTCTCGTACTGCTGCGGCGCGTAGTTGCCGTTGACGGGGCCGGATGACTCGGTGGATGCCATTTTCAATGTGCGGGTGACGGCGAGGTTATGCGGCGAGATGGAGGGCGAATTGCGTCGAGTTTGCGCGGAGTGTGGTGGGGGATGAGATACGCGAAGCAGAGGAATGGCGCCTAGATCCTAAGACAGCAAGTCGACGTTAGCATAGTAAAAAGCTATCCTCGGGCTAGTTGCGCGTACCGGGCCGTGTGCACTGAAATGGGATGGAATCCGTCAGAGATGCAGGAATAGGCGGGCGACGAGATGGCGATACGCGGGTGTAGATGGCCGAATATGCGAAGCTCCCCAGTAGATGATCAGGATGGATTCAGGGTAGTCAGGGTTTGGGCGTGGGTTGGTCGTTGTGCGCGTTCAAGCAAGAGTGCTAGTGAGGACCACACTGATTCGGAAGGCAAAATGCGAAGGAACCAAGTCTGTGCGTCGTTGCCCGATCAAGCGAACCGGTCCTGCACCTCCACATGTCATCGCCATCGCTGCCTCGACCCGACGACTCTCGACAGACTTCACCATGAGAAGTGCTTTACTCACTATCTTGCTATATTCACTCGTCGATCACATTGCATTCACTCGCAAGCTATGCGTGATCAATGCCCTGCGCATCTTATCAGGGCGCCAACTCATGTAAGCGATTGCTGATCTGAGCGCAGAAGAATGATTCACACGTACCCATGATGAGAATTCATGTTTGGGTGCCGCATGCACATATAGGATGCATCTTCAGTATGATGATTCGAGGTCGGACGCGGGTCGGAGATGCCGTCATCTCCGACATCTCCTACGCATGTCCGCTGCGCGCGCAAGAGCGAGATCCTTTCAACACCGAATTCGCCAGCAAATCTCTTCGAAAGACCGAACTGATCGTCTGCAATGTGGGTCACTAATCTTCGTCCCGCAGCTGCCTTCGCTGTTGTGATAATGCGAATGTTGTGAGATATCTCGCCATTGGCTCGGCACGTCGGTCTGCGTCAAGGGCGAGGCCGAGCGCGAACAGGCGTGCAGGCCTACATGCAAACCTGCCCCAATAATAGCTTGATATCGAATATGCGGATCATAAGGATTCCAGGTAAAGAGCGAAGCGCCGCTACGCCTCTCCGTGTCAACCTCATTGACTACTTAACCATGGCCTAGCCCAGCTTTAACTACACCAACCCCTTCACTATCAACCTTTCACCCTTAGCACTACCGTCTAATACCATGTCGCAGACTACAAGCTCAGTGGCATCGTTGCACGATGAAAAGTCACGACTTCCCCAATCCGATGTCGAACAACCGCCAGTACCAGTCGATGAAAAGCGACCCGAAACGACCGAGCCTACAGCGGCCGTGAGCCCATTCCATCCAAGTCAGTTCCCTGATGGCGGAAGAGACGCCTACCTGTGTCTCCTCGGAGGCTTCTGCTGTCTCTTCTGCTCATTTGGATGGCTGAACTGCGTCGGAGTGTTCCAAAGTTACTACCAACGGAACCAGCTCAGCGCGTACTCGCCGTCTACCGTCGCCTGGATCGCTTCGCTCGAGATCTTCGTCATGTTTGCGCCTGGACCTATCGTCGGTTTCCTCTACGACAACTACGGCCCCAAGTACATATTATTGTTCGGTACTTTGTTCCATGTGCTTGGTCTCATGATGACCAGCCTATGCACCGAGTACTGGCAGTTTATCCTCGCGCAAGGAATCTGCAGTCCCCTAGGTCTGAACTGTATCTTCCAGGCAGGAACGAGCACCATTCCTACATGGTTCTTGAAGAAGAGAGGCCTGGCATACGGAGTCATGGCGGCTGGCAGTGGGCTAGGCGGCATCATCTTTCCAATCATGGCAACACACCTAATCCCCGAAATCGGCTATGGCTGGACGATGAGAACATTTGGCTTCCTCATCCTCGGCATGATGACCATCGCTTTCTTTACTGTCAAATCTCGTCTACCGCCGCAACCCAGAACCTTGGAGTTCAAGGTGTTTGTCGAGCCATTTAGGGACATCCGCTTCGTCTTGCTGACGATTGCCTCATTCTTGTTCTTCATGGGACTGTGTAAGCTATTCCCCTGTACGAGCTGCCAATAAGACGCGTACTAACCCCATATTTAGTTATACCCATCAACTTCATAGAAGTTCAAGCGATGGCAGCTGGAATGTCAACTTCCTTGGCTGGATATCTTTTAGCTATTCTCAACGCCGCGAGTATCTTCGGCCGTATCATCCCCGGTGCCCTCGCGGACAAGGTGGGAAAATTCAACATGCAATCGCTCTGGTGCCTGGTCGCCGGCATTCTGGTCCTCGCACTGGCTCTCCCAGCGTCAGGCAATGCGGCATTCATCACCTTCGCTGGCCTCTACGGATTTGCTTCTGGTGCTTTCGTGTCACTGTTGCCTGCCCAGATCGCTCACATTTCCAAAGTCGAACAGATTGGCATCCGTGTTGGTGTCGTCTTCGCCTGCATCTCAGTTGCGGGTTTGGTAGGTAATCCAATCGCAGGAGCTATCGTCGTTCAAAATAACGGAAAGTACTGGGGACTCAACGTCTTCTCTGGTGTTATGATGATGGCGGGAGCGAGCATGTATGTGGTGACGAGGATGTATATTGCAGGATGGAAGGTGTTTGCACTAGTCTAGTTGCATTTCGTAGCCAAATAAAGCGTTGTTCACACAGGGAATGGCCAACTGTGTTGCATTGCAAATGTGTGAGAAGTTCTACTGTGACCTTGGGGCTGTCGCGATCTTTATCCGTACTGGGTCCGTGTGTGAAGCGCACAGACCTTCGACCGCCGATTAGAACACCAGCAGCGACGCAGCGGCGCAGCTTCCTACTCTCCACCATTACACTTTATGAACCATGTCGATGCGTCCAGACATGTCCTGGTCAAACGTTAATCATCAGCCTACCGGCGCTGAAGCTTGGTCAAAGCGTCCGGTCTGACGAAGCAGGGGTTGTCCGTTGTACGAAGGTTTGTACGATTCGCACATGGCCTCGTACATCAGCTTTCATGACCTTCAACCGTTGTACGCACTACTCGCTGCGCGCTACTCACTTTGATTTGATTTCGCTTAAAATCGTCCTTCTTCGTTCAAACTCGCTCCTTCGTACCTGAGTTGTCGTACAAAACAAGACGATCAAGCAGAACAAAAGACAAAGCTAAGATTGTTGTACGACGGTATAGGCCTATCACATACAGGATACCAAGGAGATCATTATGCCCAAACAGCGCCAGACTTGTACGCGATGCTCTCAAAGACGGCAGAAGTGCGATCGAAAGGCGCCTTGTACGAGGTGCGTACAGAACAATGAAGGTCATCTATGCACGACCAAATGGGTCAACGGATACAACCCAAATGTGCACCGCAAATACCCCAGAAAGCTCTCGGCGGCCGGTTCAAGCGAGACTTCTTCATCTGGTCCGTCACCCGATGCAAACGTCCAGGTTGCACTACCCGCGATCCATCAACAAACGACGGGTACTCAATCGGGTCGGGACGAGCCGCATGAGGATGCAGTTTGGCGAACCGGGTTGCCGGACATTTCGATTAACGCTATATTGAATGAGAAAGATTCCGACGCGAATCAAAGCCTTTTCGACAAGAGCTTCCTTTACGCCCGGTCGAAACGACCGCTACGAGATGGACCCAACGGGTCGACCTCTATTACGAGCTGCTACTCGACCGCAGCGAGAATAGTGGAGACACAGTACTTGCAGTCGATTTTGCCGCCGAGGGGAAAATTGATGCTCATTGTGGACTACTACGCACAGTACATGATGTACTGGAATGGCGGCATCTATCATGCGCCAAGCTTTCGAACGAAGTTGCTTCAGGCCTATGGCCAGTCGTATGAGCTCGATTTGCAAAGCCTTGACTGGAAATGGACAGCACTCTTGTGTAAGTTACCTGAGTCCCCAATGACGCATGACTGCTTCACCTGATATGCTCCCAAGGCGAAGAGCATCGAGACAAGATTCAATGTTCTCAGTTGATCTTAGACGCCGCTAATTCAAATCTTGTAGTTGCAATTCTCTCATCTGGGATCATCGGCTCTTCAGAAACAGTTTCGATGTCATGGGGCTTCTCCATGGATGAAAAAGTCCAGCTAGCACGGTTGTGGGGTGCAGCATCCGTTTCGTGTCTGAACCTCGGAAATTATACATCGCAATACAGCATCTACTCGGTCCAGGCAATTTATATCATGCACGCGTATGAACATCTAGCTGGTTCAACTAATCAATGGATCGCTCTTCGTGGTGTGGGTGTAATCATTGCCAAAGGGCTGGGTTTGCACAAGTAGGTGACATACATCCTCTGGAAGAGACTCTAGTAACTGATCAATTAGACTTGGGCCCCATCCGGACGACGATAGGATAAGTGAACTGGACCCAAAGCGGAAAGAGGCTTTCATCGAGCGTGAGATCGGCCGTAGAGTGTGGTACGGAGTGGTATGCCAGGAGTGGTACGTCTATAGTCCGGTTCATTCTATTTGTTCACCACCCACTAATTAATTCTATAGGTTGTGTTGTACTTCATCTGCCTCTTACACCCTGACACTCCAATGGCGGCATTTCACGAGCTCAAGACCACGTGAATTAGACGAAGAAACCATGACGCCCATCACCGATCCAGAAACGCCAACAATAGTAGGTGTCACAAACTGTTCCTTTGACAACGCTGCGTTACTTCTCGACGTCCACAACGCTATGGTGGAACTTGAGGACAAAGATGACGCTATCAAGTACGCCACGATTCTGAAGTTCGATGGCGAGATGCGTGCTTTCTGTGCAGAGAAGCTGCCGAAATGCTTTTCTCCTCGGACACCCAACAACCCTAGCTGGCCCCCATGGGTCATCTGGGCGCGGCGGCTGCACCAGGCTTCAATACATCACAAGATCATTATGAGTAAGTATGCACCATGGCCAATCGCCCAAAGATCTACACTAACTCTGTCCCCTGTCATTAGTCCATCAGCACTTCTTAAGCAAGAGCTTCAAGGACGTCCGCTACACATACAGCCGGTGGGCTTGTATGAGCGCTTCGCAGAGTCTCATCAGCCTATACACCACTCGGGATGCACAAGAGCCGCAATGGTGGGTTGAGCAAGCCTTCATCATAACTGCCGGCATTTGCCTCATTTTGGAGCTCTTTCATCGCGCTGAGGCAGATGCGGAGGTGCAGGAGTGCCAACTACATGTCACGCGGGCCATCAGGTACTTGCAATCATTCCACACGTCAAGTGTTGCAGTACATGGCGTGCGTCTCCTCATGTCACTCATGGCAGAGTACGAAAAGCTCAGGGACGGGTCAGACGAAAGGACCGCAGTATCAGCGGATACAGCAGCCACCCAAAACTGTTCCTATATCCCTGGCAATACTGCTGGAATTCCGACTCCGGACAATGACCGCGCGACCCAACAGCTGCCTCTAGATCCCGAGGTTCCGCTATCGTTCGACGATCCGACTATGTGGAATTTCGATATCGATAGTATGAGCTTCGAAAATCTGATGGACTATCTACCTTCAGAAGGCTCGTTGAACACTAACGTCTTCAATGCCAGCATGTTGTCGGCTAATGGATGGCCGATGTGGTAGCTCTTACCTCACTTACCAACGCACGTGCGGTCACTCTTGCCAGTTTCGCGCTCGTTGCTTCCGTCGCGAACGGTAAGTGGTCTGACACCGAGGTGGCTCCTCTCTTGCCAATCTTCTTGAGGGCAATGTTCAGTCTCCACAAGTCGCCAATCTAACACCTGGACACCACTGGGTGAGCGTTTTGAATCGGTTGCGTATACACCCACTTGACAATGTGAGTTTATTGTAGCTCGTTGCAGACACGCGCTGACAGGTGCAGTCATCCAGCGGCGCCATTATGTCTCAGGACCCCGAACTCGACAAGATGCTCGTGCTGGACGCACTGAGTAGCGGCCTCAACATGTCCATGACAGAGCTCCTCAGCATCCTCGGTCGACAAGCCCCGATCTCAAACCTTCTTCTCGGACCCGTCATCAGACCACAGCAGATCCCCGTGACGGCGGCATCTCATTCTGAACCGAGCATGCATCTACAACAGAAGGCACCGGCGGCAGAGCGGCCACAGGAAATGTTGAGGGAGTTCCACATCGTATACTGGACCGCTTTGGCTCTCGTCAGCCTCATCGCTATATCGGCGGTCTGGACGAAAGTTCATATGGCGGCACAGAAGGGTCGGAAGTCGTTCGAGGCCAAGAAACCCATGTCGGATGTTGAGAAGTGGCACATGCGGCGTCAGAAGGCGCGCGATGAGGCATCCATGGCGCTGGGGCAGGTGGATGACCAGTCTCCGGGGACGTGAATGCGTTGCTAGAAACAGAACGCGGAAATGGTTTCGCGATGCGGGAGGGCTCCACTGGGAAATCATGCGCTTTCTGCTTTGTAGTTGTACGTGGAAGATGGAAAGTGTGGATGGAGTATGATAGTGTATCGTGCGAGACGCGAGAATCGAAATCGCGTGTAACACAAGATCACTGAATAATCCATTGACAGTTCAACTTACCACCGTCTCGTAATCACCATTCTTGTTGCTGTTGATTTATCATAGTCGCGCATCCAGTCAAACCTCGGCAACTCATCGTACCCCACACCCGTAGACGCGTCGATCTCCCGGCATGCATATGGTCTACTACGCTCGCTGTATACTGCAATACTTTAACAGGCATTTTGTAGGGATACGCCGCTAGATCAAGATTGAGATTCTATGTGTTGATCCGCAACGATGAAGGCCATCCACATCGACAAATTCGTCTCCGTGAGCAACCCATCCAAGTAACACCACCATCCTCCCTAACAAACACCTACAGAACGTAACCAACCTTAAACCAACCACCATCCCCAATCCATCCCCCAAATCCCCCCAAGACATCCAAATCCAAATCACCCACGCAGCCGTAACCCACGTCGACCTCCTCTACGCCCGCGGCCTGCACCAAAACAACAAGCGCCACGTCCAACCACCCTTCATCCTAGGCACAGAATACGCGGGCGTCGTAACCCACAGCCCGCCCTCTTCTTCCTTCCGACCCGGCACCCGCGTCTTCGGCGGCGGCCTAGGCGCCTACGCACAGCAAATCAGCGTCTCTGAACCCTCCATCCGACGCGTCCCACCGGGATGGACGAACGCTGAAGCCTGCGCTGTTGGCGCAAGCGGTGCGGTGAGTTACGGCGCTTTGATTTCCGTTGCGCGGCTTAAACCCGGAGAGACGGTGTTGGTGCTTGGTGCGAGTGGGGGGTTGGGTGTTATGGCTGTGCAGATTGCGAAGGCCGTGGGGGCGAGGGTTATTGCTGTTGTTGGGGGGAAAGAGAAGGCTGAGGTTGTGAGGGGGGTTGGGGCGGATGAGGTTGTTGATTATGGGGATGAGGGGTGGGAAGAGAGGGTGAGGAAGTTGGGGAATGGGGGGGAGGGGGTGGATGTCGTGTATGATGGGATTGGGGCTGTGGAGAGTGGGATTAGGTGTTTGAGGTATAGGGGACGGTTGGTTGTTGTGGGGTTTGCGGCGAGAGGGGGGGAGATGGAGAGTTTGAAGGTTAATAGGGTTTTGTTGAAGGGGGTTGCGGTGTTTGGTTATGTGAGTTTTCTCCGTTTTGTTACCTGGGTATCGTCGTGCACTTGGGGTTCATTTGGTCAATTCGTGTGCTAACTCACGATAGCGGTTCGGGGAAGATGGGAGGAGAGATCCGCAGAGGACAAAGGAGGTTTGGGATGACTTTATGAAGTTGGTCGAGGATGGTAAGATCCGGCCTGTTATATATAAGGAGGATTATTGGGGGTTGGAGGCGGTTGGTAGAGCGCTGGAGGATGTGAGGGAGCGGAAAGCTTGGGGAAGAGCTGTTATAAGGATATGTGAAGCAGAAGAGGATAAGACCGAGCAGAAGGCAAGGTTATGATATTGAGATATAGATGTTGCTACTCAAGATGTCGACTGCACGCGATTCCTCTGTGGGCAGTAGGTAGCAATCTCCTATTTGATGGTAGTAAATGTAATGAGTGTGTCAAGAATGCTCATTTGCAGCTTTCATCCAGAAACTACTGTAACCATACTGGATCTGTACCGCTTTAAGGGTGAAGTCAACGCGTTGGTGATGCTTCACCCTGGAGGCGTGGCGTCGAGGCCATCAAGAGCGCACGGACCCTCGCGGCGCGCCGGCTTAGCGCGGTTTCTTTGGACGGGCCTTGTTCGACGTTCCCATGTTTAAAACATAGCCCGTCAACTTCGACGCTCGCCGTCTGCTCTTACTTCTCTCCTTTTTCCTCTCCAACTGCGCGCCGCCGGTTGAAAACCAATCAGCGGATAAAGTCACCCTCACGTCCGTTTGATCGCCGCGGTCACACCCCCGAGCTTCGCGACAGCTCTTAGGAAGGACACGCTCCTCTATCACCACACCCATCGATAAACATGGCATCCTACGGCAGCGACCCCGAAGAGGAAGAGGAAGACTTCAATCCCGCGCCTGAAATAGACGAGGATGACGTCGCGCCAACCACCAAAGCCTCGCGCAGGCCGGTAGACGAGGACGAAGAGGACGAGGTCGATGCGCCAAACAGGACAGGCAACGACGATGAGGATGAAGAGGGCGGCGGCATAGATCTCGACGATGACGATGACGAGGAAGATGACGAAGAAGATGAGGACGACGAGGATGTTGTCGTGGGTCCCATCATTCATTTGCGCTGTCCAATTACTGACTATCCTAGGCCCGACCTGCCAAGCGGAGAAAGAAGGCCAAGCGCAACATGTTCATTGATGTTGAAGCCGAAGTCGACGAGGACGAAGAAGAAGAGGAGGAGGGCGACGACGAGGGTGTTGATGAAGTCCACCCCGATGATCTCCTCGAGCCCACGGGCGCCGATCTCGACGACCGCCACCACCGCGAACTTGACATGCGCCGCGAAGTCAATGCACAAAAGGATGTTGAGGAGCTTGCCAAGGAGTTCGATGAGAAGTACAGGCGGCGTGAAATGCAGAGCGCTCGTCGCGGTGGTGCTGGTGCCGTACCCCTGGCCCTACCCACTGTCGACGACCCGTCTATCTGGGGCTGCAAGTGCCGTCCTGGAAAGGAGCGCGAGATCATCATGTCTATCCAGAAGCGCATCGACGAGAAGATGCGCACAGGTCAACCAGTACAGGTCTACTCAGCTTTTGAGCGAGGCCCTACTGGGCCCCAGTCTGGTTTCCTCTACGTCGAGGCCGACTCGAAGCAAGCTGTGGTGGAGTTGATTGAGGGCATACAAAACGTCTTCATGGGCTCTGGCCAGTTCTCGATTCCCCCCAAGGAGCGTCCAGATCTGCTCCGTAAGAAGAAGCGTGCGCCGTTGGAGGTTGGCAAATTCGTGCGCATGCTGCGTCCCCCCACATACAAGGGCGATCTCGCAAAGGTCGTTGAGGTCTCGACTAACGGTCTTGACTGTGTCGTACAACTTGTACCACGTCTAGACTACGGTCTGAACGAGGACATCAACTCCGCCGCTGACAACAAGCGCAAGCGCGGCTTCTTTGGTCGACAGGTTGAGCGCCCACCCGCGAAGCTCTTCAACGAAGCCGAAGCGAAGAAGCGACACATGAAGCATCTCAGCATGACCGGATCTGGCAACCAAAGGGCATACACATACAAGGGCGAGGATTACCAAAACGGCTTCCTCATCAAGGAAGTCAAGGTCAACTGGGTCAGCACTGAAAAGGTCAACCCTAAGATGGAGGAACTGCAGTTTTTCGCGATCCAGAATGCCGATGGTACCGAGACCATGGATCTTTTGGCCGTCCAGGCCGCACAGAAGGCCGCAGACTCCGGCTCCGCTTTCGCTGCAGGAGACAACGTCGAGATCTACACCGGCGAACAGAAGGGTATCCGCGGTACTACTGTCACAGTCATCGGTGACATTCTTACGCTTCGAGTCAGCGAAGGTGATCTCAAAGGGAGAAGAATTGACGCTCCCGTCAAGACACTACGCAAGCTCTTCCGCGACGGTGACCACGTCAAGGTTATCGGTGGCAGCAAGTACGTCGACGAAGTTGGTCTAGTCACCAGAATCAAGGATGATAAGATCACCTTGCTTTGTGACTCCACTCAGCAGGAAATCACGGTCTTTAGTAAAGACCTGAAGCGCGCTGCTGATTCGGCAAACGTCGGTGCTGACTCCAACTTCGATCTCTACGACTTCGTACAGATTGAGTAAGTTATCTCCTTCCGATGATTTGACAACGAACTAACATTCTGCAGTGCCTCAACTATCGGTTGCGTCGTTCGTGTCGATCGCGAAGTCCTACGAATTGTCGACCAACAAGGCGATGTCCGCACACTCCTCCACACACAAGTCTCGCAAATCGTGGGAAGGAATAAGCATGCTGTAGCAACCGACCGCGACGGCTCTGAAATCCGACACGAGGACGACGTCAAGGAGTATGGAGGCGAGGGCCGTCAGGGCAAGGTTCTATACATCCACAGAGGCACACTTTTCGTACGAAACCGCGAGCTTGTCGAGAACCAGGGTATCTTCGTGGTTCGAAGCAACAACGTCGTCACCATGGCAGCAAAGAGTGGTCGCGCTCAAGCGCAAGGCCCAGATCTTAGTGGCATCAACCCTGCCCTAAACGCAGGCCCGAACGGCAACGCGGCTGCTATGCCACCACCCCGCGCCACTTTCGGCCGTGATAAGCTTATTGGCAAAACGGTTGTCATTCGAAAGGGCGCCTACAAGGGTCTGTTGGGTATTGTCAAAGATACCATGAACGATGAAGCCCGTATCGAGTTACACACGAAGAACAAGCAAGTCTCGGTGAAGAAGGAGCTCCTGACTATCAAAGATCCCATCACTGGCGCCAGTGTCGAAATGGGAGGCAAGTTCCCCAACCGCTCACGTGGAGGCTTCTCTGGTGGTCAGACAAGCTACGGCGGTGCAGCTGGCGGACGCACACCTGGCTGGGGCAACTCTGGTGGTGGTGGTGGCCGTACGCCTGGCTGGGGAGGCGGCGGCGGCGGTCGCACGCCTGGTTGGGGAGGTGGTGCCGCTGCTGGAGGCCGTACTCCTGGTTGGGGTGGAGATGGCGGACGCACCGCTTATGGTGGAGGAGACGGATCACGGACTTCTTATGGAGGCGGCGATGGCTCTCGAACAGCATACGGCGGTGCAACCGCATATGGAGGCGCCACATCGTATGGCGGAGCGACAGCCTACGGCGGCAATGACGGAAACCGTACCTCGTACGGTGGCTTCAACTCTGGAGGTCGCACACCTGGCTGGGGTGGATCATCCGGAAACACCGCTTCAAAGTCTGGCGGTCTCTCTGCTCCTACGCCTGG